AAGGACTGGAGAGGAGGCTGGGAAGTGGGACCCTACAGAGGGCAAGTGCAGGGCAGGAGCAGAGTCGCCTGAGCCCCGGCAGTGGGTCTGCGTGCCCTAGTCTCCCGAGATGGTAAACAGTGCCAGAGCACTGACAGACGAGTTTCCCAGGCTGGCCTCCAACTCATTTGCAGCAAAGGAAGACCTGAATCTCTGATCCTCCTGCCTCAGCCTCCCAGTGCTAGGGATGACATTCAGGGCTTCCGGCATGCTAGGCAAGCGCCCTACCCACTGCGATGTTCCGGTTGGGGAAACTGAGGCACAGAGAGGTTCTGAGTGTGGAGTGTTACTCAGGCCACCCATTCGTCAGTTTGTGCTGGGACATCTCGAGGGTGGCACTGGTCGCTCACAGGATGATCGTTCATCCTCTCATCCTCTGTGAGCCCTGCTTTTCAGGTGGGGGAAACTGAGGCTTAGAGTGAGCACGGTATCCGGAGTCCCCTGACCACCCTCAGCTCCTATCTCGGCCAAGCAGAGTCCCCAGAGCGTGCAGATAATCGCCCAGTGTGTGTTGGGCAGGCGAGCGCATCACACGCGAGCCTCGTCCGCAGCATGAAGGGCGGGTAACTGCGTGGCAGGAATGGCAATCAGAGGCCCCGAGGCGGAACCAAACGGCGCTTGACTTCCCTTCGCTTCCGAGCCTCTGGAGGGGACCAGGTGGTGTGTGTGTCTGTGGAAGGGGGGCAGAGAAGAGCCGAGCCCGGACTTGACTTTCTGATGGGGGCGGGGTCACGGTGGCCACTCTGGTACATCCTGATGGATGATGATTTGGAAGATGAGCATGGGCAGCCCTCAAGTGTGTCCAACTGATTCTGATTGTAATTCACACGCCCTACAAGTACAACCCAAGGGCTGGGGGATGGGGGCAGCTAAGAGGGGAGCGTTGGCCCAACACTGGGGAGGGGGTGCTTAGGTCCCATATCTAGCACCTTAAACCCAAACAAAAACAGAAAGGGAAAAACAGGGCATGAGTGACTTATACAGTTTATCAGAAAAGCCATGAAACCTGAACTCTAGTTCCAGAACATTCCACCCCTATATCCCTGCAAGTCTCCATGAATCATCGTCTCTGCCTCAGTTTGTTCTGGATATTGCCAATCTTGGAGTCTCACAGTGGACTTCTGGGTCTGGTCCTCTCACTGGCTCCACATTCCGGTAGGTTGGCGACATGACATGAAGCTGTGTGAGGCTCCATCGTGTGACACACAGCAGTGTTCAGATACACAGACTAACTGGGGCCTCCCTGACTGTACCTCAAATCTTGGCAGAAGTGTGCCAAGTCACAGGGACAGAAGGGGCAGTATATTGGTCCACAGTGTGTCTGTGAGGCTGGTAGCCAATTCTTTTACTCTACAGAGTGAGAACCACTCAAAAACCAAAACCCAAGGAGTCATCCCAGCACTCGGGAGGCAGAGGCAGGCGGATCTCTGTGAGTTCGAGGCCAGCCTGGTCTCCAGAGTGAGTGCCAGGATAAGCTCCAAAGCTACAAAGAGAAACCCTGTCTCGAAAAACCAAAAACAAACAACCAAACAAACAAATATCCCAAGGAGTCAGGTCTTGCCTCCTACAGTCTGATGGCAGAGGCAGAGCTTGCCCTGAGAAGCCTCCCATCTGGAGTTTGTAGAAAGGTTCTCTGTCTACTGCACCCAGTAGGAGCAGGCATGGCTCTGCCTTCAGTGACCCCCCAGTCAGATGAAGTACAGTTGCTTCCCTGGACAACAGGCTGAGGGAGGAGACATGACCCCATCTTCAGTGATGCCCAGTGACAGGGAAGTACACACATGCTTCTGGGCCACAGCCTGAGGGATGATGCAAGTCACTGACTTTCAAGGTCTCCAGTCTGCTGGAGACATATCAGCATGTGGGGCCAAAGGCCTCACAGACAGATTACAGCATGTCCCCAGCACCCACGCAGCTCATGTGTCACAGCACAGAGACCAGGTTTGTGACCAGTAGGCTGGCAGAGGGCCATGGGCAAGCTGGTCCAGCTAGTGTCTCACTAGTGAGTGCCCAGGACAGGTGGTGGGGTCAGCTCTGTCCTGGCAGCTCCTGTCGCCAGGGGACTCCAAGGAGCTGATGGAGGAGATGGCAGATTAGACCTGACAGTTTCTGAGCACATGATGACAGCTGCAGAGTTAGGAAGGGCAGGGTGGGGGTGGGGTGGGCTCCAACAAGACCCCAGGGTGCCACTGATGTGTCCCTGCTCTTGCCTGGGGGTGGGGGGACACATGGGGTGTGCAAAGGAAGAATTTCAGGGAAAAGCAGACTGCAACATGAACATTTCAGGCTTAAGATCAGCTTGGTGGTTCATGTTTCTAACCTGAGCACTGGGGAGGTAGAGGCTAGCCTGGGCTACATGTGCCTGCTCTCCACCAGCACCAGCAGTACCAGGCTCACTGTGTTCTAAACAACAGACTCAGTCTTGGCAGTTTTCTTACAGTACCAGAACACAGACTAATGTAAGGCCAAATTCTGAATGAAGGACTTGTGCTGAGGGCCCAGGCTGGGGGTGTAGCTGAAATCCCAGGAGAGTATTAAGCTCTGGTCATACAGTTGGGCAGGGTCTCTCGCTGGTCCACATGGTTACCAATTGATTTTCTTTTTCATACAGTATTGTGTTGAGGGAAGAGCCTTGTTGGGAGATGGTCCCCAGGGACCCTGCCCCTTGCCCAATGTCAGATAGTGTTCAGATCTGTAGCAGGAAGGGACAGGGCAAACAGGCCGCCCATAACTCAAGGACTGCAGAATGGACCAGGCTATCTGTCCTGGTACGCCTGGTGCTGAGACACTGGCTCTCTACACCCTGCGGTGACCAATGGCAGGCACGGTCATGAGGCGTCTGCTGAGGGTGTTTTCTTGATTCCCATCTCCTTCTCTGGCTTCTTGGGTCTGTGATGCCACCATGGGGGCTCAGCTGTCACTGTCCTCGCTGTCCCCATACGCACCCAGCTGGCTCAGGGAGGAGGCCCCAGGTTTCTGGGGTGCAAGGCTGGTCGCCTTTCTGCTCTCGGGGGCACCTGTGAGGAGGGCAAGTTGGTCCTGGGATGCAGGGCAGGGGAGTGTGCCCAAATTGGAGGACCTATGACATGGTCACCTCAATCCTACACTGGGCCAGGGAGATCCCACCCAGGCAGTTGAGTGTCCACATGACACAGGGACAGTATCAAGGACCAAGTGCCTTCATGATTAAGGGCACAAAGGCCCTCCAACACCTGAACTGCTGTGTGGCTTCTGGAAGTAGGTGACCCTCTCTGAGCTCTAGGATCTGCCTCTGACAAATGTTAATAGTGGCAGTGACAACTGTGTCAAAGGTGTGTCAAGCTAGGTCCTATCTAAATAGGGTGGAATTATCCAAACCATACAAAGGACACTGAAACTGCAGGTCACATGGGCAGCACATCATCTACAGCGATGTGGTGTCCCTTGATGCTGTATAACCAGTCAGATGTCAGATGGTGAATTTAGCTATCATGTGACTTTGATTCCAGGCCTTTGCTCCTTTTTTTGTTTTTTTGTTTTTTTTTTTGTTCCATATAGGGTTTCCCTGTGTAGCCCTGACTATCCTGAAACTTGATCTGTACATCAGGCTGGCCTCTTTTGAACTCACAGGGATTAAGGGTGTATGCCATTACAGCCTGATTCCTTTTTCTTTTTTGAGACAGGGTCTCATGTAGCCTAGACTGACCTTAAATTCCCTATGTAGCTGAGGCTGACCCTGGACCCCTGATCCTCTTGTCTCCCACTCCTGAGTGCTGGGTGAGCCTCTGCCCAATGAGCCCTAGCCCCACTCTGGTCACTGGCCTCACCCCATCCACCGTATGAAGCTTCTAGACAGTGCCATGCACACCGCTGCCACCCAGGGCTTCTGGCGGGAACTCACCTGAGGAGTGCATCCAGACCTGCTCTGAGCCCCCATTGGCTTCCATCTTCACCTTCTTTGGCACAACCAAGCCAGCCAGCTGTGCCCTGCTGCCCACCGCCTCTGCCTTCCTCTTGGTCTTCGGCGCCTGTGGGGACCGTGCACAACTGTTGTCCCTCTGACTTCCCTGACCTCGCTCTGTGGAGCCAGTTTGCAGATTAAGTATACTGTGGCTCTGCAGTCCTCTTTGGCTCCCAAGGTGGCATCTGAGGACGTCTTACCTGTTGCTTATTCTCAGCCTGTGAACTCCTACCCACTCCTCAATACCCATCTCAAGCACCTGCCCTATGTGTGCTCTTAAGAACTGTAGTATAGCCAGGGCCCACAACAGTTTTTTTGACCACGATCTCCCTAGTGCCACCAATAGCTCCTGGCACACTGTAGGCGCTCAACCTGCAGCCCAAGCTGGCCTTGGGCTCCCCAAGTGCTGATATGACAGGTGTATGCCACTGTTGCAGGGCTCTGGGGTGTGAAGTAGTGAGGTGTAATGTGCAGGCCCGTCACCCTAGCTCATGGGAGGCTGAAGCAGGAAATCTGTGGGTCTGAGGTCAGAATGGGCTGTGGAGTTTGATGACCCTGCTTTAAAGAAAAACAAAACAAACAGAACCAGAGCAAGTCTGGGTTCCACATGGGAACACCACAGGAGCCTGAGAAGAAGGCCCAGCAGGTTAGCATGCCTGTCTGAAGAACTCGGGTTCAAGTCCCCAGCACCATGAAGAGCTAGGCACAAAAGTACATGCCTGTAACCTCAGCACTGATGGGAGATGGCAGTTTGAAACAAGAGAATCCTGGGAGTCAGTGGGCCTGGTCCACACAGCTGTCACAAGAGGAGACCCGTCTCAACTAGGGTAGGAGGGGAGGCCACATGCCTGAGGCTGTCTGTTGACCTAAGAGCTGAGTGTGCACTGGCAACTCACACCTGGATGCAGCCAGAAGAGGCTAGAAGACACTAGAACCTTCAACAGCTGGGGCCAGAGCAGTTGCAAACTTCTGGACACGCCCAGGACCCTGATGGGACTTAGGGACACCTTCATTTTTCATAGCCTTGGGCTTTTGTGCCTGAGTGTGGAAATCAGAGGCTGACACCTGTCTTCATCAGTTGACCCCACCATGGTTTCTCAGGCAGTGTCGTCTCTCACTGACTTGCAGATCCTACTCAGCACAACCCAGGACTCTCCTACCTCTACCTTCCTGGCTCCAGATCCCAGGCCTGCTGGGCTGCATCTGGTTCCATTTTTTGAAACAGGCTCTTGCTATGTAGCCCAGGCTGACCTCAAATGTAAGAGATCCCCCACCTGCCTCTGTTCCCAAGTGCTGGGATTAAAGGTACGTGTCACCTCACTGTGACCAGTGCATCTGGCTTTTAACATGCATTGGGTTAAACCCCAGTCCTGTGCTTGTGGGGCAGGCACTTGACTGCCTCCCTGCCCTTGGTGGACTTTTCACTGGCTACTCCCTCCCTGAGGTTCAGAAGCAGGAAGCAGAGTGTTGAAGCCACACGGTGGGCTGTCTGTCCTGTTATGAACAGTCCTGCTGTCCATGGTTTCTCCATGGTTTCAGCCTGGGCACCCACACTCTGCACTCTGGCCCTGCTCACCTCATCCAGGATGGCTGTGGGGTTGGGTCTTGCTGCTGCCCGTGGTCTGGAAGGCGGAGCTTCATCTTCTGAGTCAGAATCCTCCAGAAGCCTGCGGTGGCGAGCCTCCTCCAGCAAGGCCCTAGAGGATGGACACAGTGAGGACCTGCTGTAGGGATGGTCCCCAGGGGTCTCTGCTGCAGCAGTGAGGGGCTGCTGCCTCTTCCTGCTGTCAGAAGGCGAGGAAAATGGGAGTAGGGGGCAATGCTAACAATTTTAAAGGCAGTGGTTCAGGGGCTGAGAACTGGGCTGGCACATGTGAGGCTTTAGGTACATACCCAGCACCACAGAGATAATTAAGTATATATAACCTGGGTGCAGAGGCACATGTCTACCATCCCAGCTCTGGGGAGGTAGACAATGGAGGGTCAGGAGTTCAAGGCCATCCTTGGCTACTTAGTGATTTTGAGGCCAGCCTGAATTAAACGCACAGCTGTGGGATCCAAATGAAGAGCCAGTCTTGGCCACTGGATCTCGAGGGTCAGCGCAGCTGAGCCTCAGTAGAGTCCAAGGGCACAGGACAAGAAGGGGCTCCAAGCAGAGGGGAGGGGAGCCCAGGGGCAGCCATAGGAAGATCCAAAAAGGCCCAGGCAGCTCACGCTGTCTCTCGCTCATCTTCCTCCTCCTGCTGCTGTCGCCGCTGCTCCTGTGACAGGCGGTGCTGCAGCAGCATGGCCTCGAAGTCCACATGCGCCTGCCGCTGGTTCAGGTCCTTCAGCTCCTGCAGGTTTTCTAGCACCTCCATCTCCAGCTTCGAGTCTTTCGTGCGGTTCTCTAGGACCTGGGGGTGCAGGGTGGGTGAGGGGGTGTGGGAGCAGGGGCAGGTGAAGGAGGGGCGGAGGAGGGGAGCGTGGGATAAGGGGGTGCCCATCAACAGGTGATGGGGTACATGGGCCTTCCATGTATGGGAGGGGTCTAGAGGCGGGAGATGGGAAAGGATACACGGTGGAGGCACTGCGGCCTAGGGTTCACCTTCATGGGGTTGTTCAGCTCCTCGTCCTCGCGCTCCTTCTGCACACGCTTTTCCTCCTCCTCCAGGAGCTTCTCAGCCTGGAAATTTCGCGTGGCCCCATGCTCCATGGTGTAGTCTGTGTTCTCCGGGTCTGTCTGCGAGGAGAGGGGAGGGGACAGAATCACCGATGGCTCCAGGCGGTGGACTACGCCCCTGTGTGCATTTCTCCATTCCCTCTGCCAGTTTCTTTTCTTTGTTACTCCTTTGGTGGCTGTGGGCCTTCCTCCTAAAGCCCACACTCTCTGAAATATTGTGGTCATAACAAGGAACACCTGGCGTGGGCTTCCATCCTCTCAGGTCACAGTTATTTTGTGCCCTCCGCACCTCTGGACCTGCACCTTCAGGCCTCCAGGCTGTGCTGCACAAGCCTTATCTTCTTGCTTATTTTATTTTTTTTTCCAGAGACAGGGTTTCTCTGCTCTGTATTGTTTTGGAGCCTGTCCTGAAACTTGCTCTTGTAGACCAGGCTGGCCTCGAACTTACAGAGATCCACCTGCCTCTGCCTCCCAAGTGCTGGGATTACAGGTGTGCACCACCAATGCCCGGCTCTTCTTGCTTATGAATTACACAGAAGACTTGCTTGCTTCTGAATTACACAGTTGACATCATGTGGTGTTTGTCTGTCTGGGAGGTGGAAGCAGGGTGCTATGAAGTGAATGAGGTTAGCTTGTGGTACTGAGGACTTCGCTCAAAAATAAATAAATAAATAAAGGGTATGAGGGGATGGATGGCTCAGCGGTTAGAGTACTGGCTGCTCTTGCAGAGGACCAGGGTTCAGGTCCCAGCACCCACATGGCAGCCCATGACCACCTCTAATGCCAGGCCCAGGGCACCCAATGCCCCTTCGGGCTTTCAAGGGCACCAGGCACACAGACATTCCAGAGATACACATGCGAAATAAAAATGTAACTTCTGCCGGGCAGTGGTGGCGCACACCTTTAATCCCAGCACTTGGGAGGCAGAGGCAGGGAGAT